TTTAGGGTCGATGGTCATATTCAAGGGTCTCAAAGGTTTAAGCTTTGGTTTGAAAACATTTAGATCTACTCACTTGTGAGGTTTCTCTAAGCTTTGAAAACAAAACAAGAATCATCCATAGCGTGTGGTATGGTTCACTTCCTCAATCTCTTCTCCAAACCCATGGCGTTTGGTGGAAAAAGAGATCGAAGAGCAAGAAAAACAAATTTCAATATAATGACCTAACTAATCCCTTTTACAACCATGGCGTGTGGGAAAGGAAAGATTAGTCTCTAGGATATGGTTTTCTAGGATATCTGAATCCTGTTAACTTAAGACAGCCCTGGAATCATAGAGACCTTTTCCAAGGCTCTCTAAGCCTTAAGACTCCAAGATCCTAGAAGAAAAGGTATAAAGAACAAAGAAAACACAAAACTTAAACCCTTTCAACCCTTTTGGATCGCCTCAACCCCGAAAACCCAAAAAGACTACTCGCTACTCATGGTTAAGATCAAATGAAAAGAAATAGATAGAAAGCTAAGCATGATCAACAAACGATTAAAGGAAAAACTTGCTTAATATTAAAAGATCCAAAGGTGTAAAGCACGAAAAGCTTAGGATGTTCAACAATGGCAAAATCGCCTAAAGTAGAGAGAAAACAAAAAGACAGAATGAAGATAAGAGAAAGTGATGGCTGTCTTTGCCAAAAATGGTTAAACCATTAACTGGTCCCCCCTTTGCTAGCCGCCAAAGACAGCTGGACAGATAAGGCTCGTCTGGGATTGACTCGGGTCACTCGATCTCTGGCTTAATCGTCTTCTTGGATCAGATGGCTTTGGTCGATCTTTGAGTCGATCCTGTGATGATCGGGTTGAAAACTCGATCTGGCTCTCGATCTGTATGGCGTCATTCACGTCCGTACTCCAGATCAATCTCCTCTCTCAATCTTGGTCTCGATCCTTCCTCTTGAATCGGCTTGGGTCATTCGATCTTCTGGTCGATCTCGTATAGATCGACCTGCCTTGCTCGATCCACTACTCGATCTCGGGACCTTAGCATGCACGGCTGAGTTCTCCAAGTGTCCACGAGCTTTGTTGTGATCCTCCTCATGTTCACATAACCTCCTCAACTCAAGAGTGCCACAAACAACCTGATAATGATGCATTTATGTAAGAAATATGCAAAATGCGAATGCAAAGGGACCTAGGACCTAAAATGCAACAAATGGAACAAACTATCCTATAATGCAAGATGAATGCATGGAAAACTATCCTAAATGCATGCAAAATATGCAAAATATATGGTAATATCATTAGCAAGGGCTAATCTAGCATTAAATACAATAAATAAAACAGAACATCAACATTAAGCACTTAGCAATCACTAATCAAACCTCAAATCTCCTTATCTCTATCCCATCTCAAACCCTAAGCAACTACTCACTAATCATAGCTTTATGCATAACCCTAGGTAAGTGAGGATGACTAATCATGACCAGAAAGAAGATAAACACCAGAGTTGATTGAAAGAACAAGATTCAAAGCAAAAATTACAAGAGATTAAGAAGAAAACACAAAGGATAAAGCTAATATCTAAAGGACAAAGATGATAAAAAAAATATCCCCCCAATGTTTTTGGGTAACAACCTATATATAGTTTTTAGGAAAAATTCTTAGTAAACCGGAAATAAACCGGAAAGTAGTTGGTTCGGACGCCTTGTATCGGCATTCTTCATCCATATGCTGAGCGATACTCGTCGGCTGAAGGAAGTATCGACCGAGTCTGGTCTCCTCGGTATGCTGGTCGATACAATCGCCCATTTGTTAAGGCATATACGGCAGAAACATCGATACTCTCATCGATACATGTCTTGGCTTGTGTATCAACATGCTCCATGTTGATATGTAGATTGGTACAGATGCTCTGAAGGTGGTGTGTCCGCTAGAGTGACTCGATACTCTTTGACTTGTTCTGTCTCGTCATATTGACTTGGGATCTCGATATGTTGATCGGTATGACTCCTCATCTGTAGCAACGTATGATGTCGATCTGTTGCTCTGTATACTCTGTATCGACTTGGTAAGTCGATATCTTGCTCGATATGGGGCCTTGTCGCCCTTCTCTCTCCACCAGGTCACTCCCAAATCTTCTATCAGTCCTTAAACGCCTTCATTGCATCTGTCAAATGCCCAAAATGCACCAAATATGCAATACAACTCCTAAATACACTCTAGATGTTAAATGGATGCAATTGAGACATGATCATGCAAGAAATGATGTTAAAATGCTGAAACTAATGCTAAATGCATGCATATAATGGAGTAATTATGGTCTATATCAATTCCCCCACACTTGGAGAAAATATCTACACTACTCCTCTCGCTTACGGATTGAGCTGCAATGCTCCTCATTTAATTTAAAAGGTTTTATAATTTTTTAAAAAAATTGAAAAAGGGGGAATTACTGGAAAACCAGATCAAATCTAATGAAATTACCATTTCTACTTGGGCTTAACCTGAGAAATTTGGGTTTAACAATGGATCGGGTTTACCCGAAAATCATTCGAATTTCTTTCAAATTTTTCAAAAACACAATCTTGAGATCGTACCATCACCGAAAAGAGTGAGTCTCCCGGAGAAACCCTAGCAGTGGTAGAAAGAGGAAGAGAGATCGACATCGACGGAGAACTCGATTTCGCGGAGAACAAACGATGGCGAGGACGAGAAACATGCATAAGGAGAACCCGAGCCTGAGTCAGAAGCCGGCGGCGAAGAAGCGTAAGACAAAATCAGGAACGACGGAGGAGATTCCGGGTGGAGAGGCTGCTCCTCCTCCTCCGATTGTCGAAACACAAACGACAGAGGGGGTTCCGGCTCGAGAGGCTCCTACTCCTCCGATTGTTGAAGCAGAAACGACAGAGGCGATTCCGGGTGGAGAGGCTCCTCCTCCTCCTCCGATTGTCGAAACATAAACGATGGAGGGGGTTCCGGCTCGAGAGCCTCCTCCTCCTCCGGTCGAAGAAGACGTAGAAGAAGACGGAGAAGAAGACAGAGAAGAAGACGGAGAAGAAGGAGTAACCGGAGGCGGAGATGAGACAGAAGGAGAAGCCTCCGGAGATGGTTATTCCGATGGCCGAAATCCTGTAAGTTAATTATCTCCTTCTCAATTCTCTTTTGCATTTGATGACAATTCTCAATTCTCAATTGTTGGAAATTGTAAAACTAGGATAATTAGGTAATACTAGCATGTTGGTAAAACTAAGAAAACTGGGTAAAACTAGTACTATTTTGTAATATTCTGAGTTTGATAATATTCTGAGTTTGGTATTAATATTGTATGTATGTTGCAAGGTGCCTTTGAAGAGACGATTGCCATGCGACCAGACATGTACTTGAAGCCTGATCAGTATAGCAAGAGCATTAAACTACCAACCCGGTGTTTCGTACAAGAAGTTATGGAGACGTTTGAGAAAGTGGATCTGACTCCGACGGAAAGAGAGTGGTTTGAGCAGCATCCGCAGTTCTGCCACATTCTTCACATGCCGAAGAGCAATCATATGGTTCAACCATTGTGGATGTTGTTGCTGCGTACTGCTTGGATCGAAAGGCAGAAGGAGGCTTGGTTTGTGGTGAATGGCGTCGTATGAAATGGGTTACAAGAGCATGCTTTGATCTCAAGACTCAATTGCAGCAACTACCTTCTCTATTGGAATAAAATAGGCAACTCTTACTTGAAGCGAAAGTATTTTCCTGACAAAAAGAAGGTTTTAAGGGAGGACGTGAAGAAAAAGCTTGAGGAGATGGGCCCGGATGATAGTGGAGATAGGCTCAGGATGGCGGTGTTGTATTTCTTGAGCAGCATCATCTACTCTCCCACCAAAACCGGAGACAACGCGAAACCCGTGCTCCAAGTATTCTTAAAATACGCTGATGATTTGGATAAGTGTAAGACATTTCCTTAGGGGAGATTGTCTTTTGATCGCATCTTAGAGTCCATTTCAGATACGATGAAGCACTTTGTTGAGAAGGGGTTGGGCAGTGCATGGTCGTTTCCTGGTTTTTCTATTCCTTTGGAGGTAAAAGATTGTCTTTTGCATTGTTTTCCTTTTCATTTTAAGTTAAGTCTAATTATATGCGTGTGTTTGTAGCTTTTGGCGATGGAGGCCATTATGCCACTGAGACAGAGCTTCCGAGAATCTGTACCATATCCTAACGTCGATTATCCAAGGATGTGCAGGTTCAAGTGGAAGAAATGCGACCTGAGAGGCTTGCCACTTGACACTGTGTATGAAAAGCTCAGATGCGAGAACAGGGTTAGTAGTAATTGCAGATTTGAAAACTACAATGTTTAACTTGACAGGACATTGACAGTGTGCTGATAGCTTCGGAGGAGGAGAATGCGATGTTGGATTTGATAATGGAAACGGAGGACGATGTTGATGAGCACGATCCTGTTGTGGAAAGTTGAGAAAAACGTATTGATAATGGATTGACGGTTATGTTTGAAGACATGAAAGAGGAAGATGTGAAATGGTGTGATAAAATAGTGGAGGAAAGAGCAAGGAAAAAACCCCGAGCTAAGAAAATGTCTCTGGAGGATGTTATCAGCGCGATTGAGACCATGACAGAGCAGTTGGGTTTGGTCAACAACATGTTCCATAAAATTGATGACAGGATAAAGCCACTTGAAGACTATGTGAAAGTGAGAAAGAATTCAGGCTCTTGAACAAGAGAAATCGTCTACAATGTTTGTTTTTATATTTGGTAGAACTTTGTTTTGATTTGGAACTAATACTTTGTTTTTATTTGGAACTAGTACTTTGTTTTTATTTGGAATTGTACTTTGTTTTTATTTTCAATCTCAGATGAACTATGTTTTTAATTTGAATTATTGAATTCTTGTATTATTAGGTAAAACTAGTCCTAGTAAGTGTTGCTAGAAAAAGAAATATTAAGAAAAGTTAGTAATACTAGGTGATACTAAAAAAACACTAAGTGACATTAGTAATACTAGTAGCCGCCTTTGATAATTTAAGAAAATACAAGCAAAATCGAAACATTAGTCTTGAACAACGATTGAAACAACAATTAAAACAATAATTAAAGGAAATTGCAGATTCGTTAAATCTTGAGCTTGTCTATCTCTTCGGCTTGGATCTGAATCTGTTTTCGCTTTTGTTCAATCGTCATGCTTTGCTCTTCAACTTTCGTAACTAGCTTCTCAATCTCTTGTTCGACTCCGAAAACCCATGGCTGACGAAAGTGGAGTCCATCATCCTAGCAAAAAAACGAGCAACATTCATTATAGTTATACCTTGTATTCCAAGTATTACACCCGAAGAACATCTAAAAAGTTTGACCTAGTTTTATTAGTTTTACCCAGAAAAAAAACCCAGATCTGAAATTATAGAGATTATACCTTAAATTTGGTGCAGGTGAAGTACCTACTGCCTCGTTAAGTATCGAAATCGTGTTTTAATTTTGTAGAAGGAGATACATCATGCTTGATATATCCACCACATGGGCATCTTCTCGGAATCCCATATTGGCCGTCGGCGACGAATCCAACCCTGTCCCAATGCTGCTTCATCTTCTCCATTTCCTTGCGGCGCCTCTTCTCTTCCTTCAACTCCTCCCTGTATGGGTCGATGAGGAAATTATCCGTGTAGTGATAGCTACAATCTGAATCCATTTGGATCGTGTGAGAGAGAGAGGAGAGATCGATTTTAAGAGAGAGAGGGAGAGGAGAGGATGAGAGAGTTCTTTGAGAGAGTGATGAGAGATCGATTTTAAGAGGGAGAGAGAGAGTTCGAGAGTTTGTAATGAATTTTAGGTTTAGATCGAAATTTTTTGGAAAAATTACACTCTCATGCGAAAAAATTTAATTTCCCGCCGAAAAAATACACATAGTAATACCAGATTGTTAGTTATACAAAATCTTGAAATAGTATTAGACCACCTAAAACTTATATTACATCACCTAAAACTCATATTTTCTAGTATTACAGTTGAATTATATGGTTTTCCGTATGAATATCGTTGTCCTATGCAACAATAAGTTTGAATATGGTATTTTTGTGCCATTCACTTAACAAGTTGGTTCTCCATAAGAAAGTGTTTCTTAAAGTATAAGGGAATGTTAAAGATCGATATTAGAACTCTGGTGCAGCAATAAGTTTGAACTCGTGTTTTGTTAATTCTTAGGTTTGTATGACATATAAGTTGTAGTTCTAACAAAATTAACTAATTTAGGTGATTAGTTTTGGTTCTTAAATAACAATACATAATTACTTTGAAAAGTCACCAATCATGCATAGTTATACTAGTATTACACAGAAATCATAACATAGTACTACAAAAGTGAAAACGAGTTACACGTAACAAAAGCTTAAAACTTTTACTTCATTCAAAATCTTCTCCATATAGTAACCCTGCTAGTGTCCTTCCCCGCTTGAGTTTGTTCTGTGTCCTTCCCCTTCGGCGCCTTTCTCCCGTTGATGGAAATCTTTTTTCTTTTGGACGACCCTTTTTCTTGACGCGATCTGGAGGTATCATCTCCTTCTCAATGATGTAATCCGGTACAATCCACACAAACATATCAGGCACCACGTAGATTGATCTGCTATAAGCCAATATCCACATCTCCATGAAATAGTATTTCGAACACAAGTCTAATATTCTATGCGGATATCACGCCTTCCATTATTCTTGAAGGAGATGAAAGCGGCTAATGCGTGGATACAAAGATACCTATGAATATCGACAAACCTGCAACTGTAAGTTTTATTGGCAAGTCCACCAAACAAAACTTTCCCTCTTCTGACATGACTTCATATTCAAGGTCACAACCGTTTACCTCCCTCGCATCTAATTTCTCAGCTATAGGCCAATTATCGTGCAAGAAGTTCTCAACCAAAGGAACCAGTTTCTGAGCACTCGTTCCTGCCACAGACTCGTTCCTATGCTGGTTAAACCAATCAGAAATCTTTCAAACTATCGTATCAAGCATGGGTATTAAGGATTACTTCCTCGCATCCCTAAAAGATTATTTAGAGATTCCACGGAGTTGCTTGTGTCGAGGTTGTATCTAGCAACCGGAGAAACACATCTTGCCCACTTTTGTGGCACGGTGGTCTCCTCCACATACTTCGCTGCTGAAGGAAATCTCTGCTTAAACGCCTCATAAAGCATATTGAACTCAGCCACCGTATGAGCCTTACCGCACTGTTGGAATTTTTTGGCGACAATGGCTCTGCTTCCGCTTGGAGCATTACCTTTCACGTTTTAAGCCAAATGCCATAAGCAAAACCCATGATGAGCTTGTCGATGGACGTTAGCTACGGCGTTGATGAGGCTGGTATTTCTGTCACTCACAAATACCAACTTCGAAGAGTCGTCTACAACAGTTTTCAGCTTCTCGAAAAACCAGCCCCAACTATAATTGTCCTCGCCATCGAGTACACCGAATGATATAGGATAAATGTGATGATTTGGATCCTGAGCTGCGGCAAAAACAAGTACACCACCAAATCCGGCCTTGAGAAAAGTTGCATCCACCACAATCACTTTCATCATGATTTGAAACCCATCAATGCAAGCTCCCAAAGCTATGAATAAATACTTGAATTTTCCCACCATATCCAGTTCCACAGCTGTTTTTGTACCCTCATTCAGCTCCTCTAACACGTACAAATAACGATACAACATCCTGTAGTTATATTCCGGAGTACCATGCATATCAGAAATTGCTTGATTCTTCTCTCTCAAAGTCGTGGAGTATGGTACCTCTACACCAACTTTCCTCTTCACAAGTGTCATGATTTCTCTAGGAGTTGGAGTCTCGAGTTTTCCGGGATAATGCTCACTCACAATAGCTGCAACTAATTGTACTGATCCTCTCCTTGATAAAGGTATTTCTCAAGCAGGTTTTATGATGCAGAGAGGTTATCAAAACTCTAATGCATGCAATGTTGTAGTAAGGTAAGCAGGAGAGTGTCAATCCACTTCTAGGAGGCAGAGAATGCACAGAGAATGCAAGATCCTAAGCAAATCTAAGCAAAATGAGACAGTTTATGGGAAAATATAAAAGAATTAGATGCAGCAACCTAAACAGAGTGAAACCTATTTTAAAAATACCAAAAAGGAAGCAACTACCACGAGAAACAAACAGATTAATTAAAGGAAAGAGCTTCGAATTGTTAAAATTCGACTAGTGGATCGATCACAAGATCGACCACTAGATCGAGCAGCAACGATCGATCTCGTCTAAAACCGTAAGAACGACGAATCTAATGACCAGGATGCTATCAGGTAACAAGCGAAAGATGAAATAAGACTTAAAGATTCTAAAAGAAAGGGCCTAGGGTTGAGATTCATGTAAAGGGTTTCAAAGGATCGATCTTGGATTTGAAACTTTAGATCGACTCACTTGGTGAGGATCTCTAAGCCTTGAAAACAAAACAAGATCTATCCGTGGCTTTCGGCTTTCGGTATAGATCACTCTTTCATCCTCTCCTCCAAACCCATGGCTTTTGGTTGAAAGAGAGGTCGAAAGGCAAGGAAAACAGATTTCAAGTAGATGGCTTAACTAGTCCCCCAAACTTCCATGGTTTTTGGGAAGGGGTAACTAGTCTCTAAGGTGTGATCTTCCGAAGCTCCTGGATCCTGTCAAGGTAAGGAACCTCTCGGATCATGAAGCTCTTGGCGTGAGAGTCTTCAAGCATTAAGCTTTCAACACCTTAGAAGAGATAGCCTTAAAAACGTTTAGAAAACAAACCAAGATCGAACCTTTTCTACCCCTTAATCCTCTCAACCCCGAACCCAAAGTAAACTACTCGCTACACATAGAGTAAATCAAGCAAAGCAGGAGAAATACGACGATGAACATGAATGAAAAACTGGATTAAACGATAAAGATTCGAATACAAAAGCTTAAAAGAAAAACTGGTTCAACAATAGTGTTCTTCACGAAAACGAGAGAGAAAACATGAAAGAAAAAGATAAGAATCTAAAGTTATCCAAAAAGCATCTCGCCGCCTTGCCTAAAATGCCCAAACAAGCCAATGGTCCCCCCTTCACTAACAGCCAAAAATGGTTGAAAGGACAGAAATCGACCACTGGATCGAGTGGTTCTCTCGATCACATCCGGGCATCGTGTCTTCGGCTCGATCCGGGTCTCGATCTTCTTCGGCGAATCGAGTGTTGCATCCGATCTCGGTATCGATCTTCGGGTGGATCGAGTGGTGTACTCGTTCTGGCTCTCGCTCTGCATGGCGTCATTTACGTCCGTACCGATTGATCGATTGCTTCACTCTATCTCCATCTCGATCATTCTCCTTGGATCGCCTAGTTGGCTCGATCTTCTGGTCGATCAACTTCTGGATCGACCGGCCATGCTCGATCTGCTGCTTGATCACTGGTCCTTAGCGTATTTCCGAGCTCCCACGAACTGCTACATCAGCCTCCACACGCCCACGAACTTCCATGACTCCAAAGCAGCCAGAAACAACCTGAATGTGATGCAAAATGCAAGGAAAATGCATATGCTGATGCAAGAATGCTCTAGGACCCTAAGTGATGCAATCTAACCTAAAACATGATACAAATGCATGGAAAACTAACTAATGAGTATGCAAAATGTATGCAATATATAGTAACATCAACTCCCCCAAACTTACTTCTTGCTTGCCCTCAAGCAACAAAAAACAAGTAAGGAAGAGAGGTTTTTAGAAAAACCAAAGGGGTTTTAAACATTTTGCAAAGGTGCCTTTCGAATGGATCATCTCAATGTCCTAGTTAACAATTCTAAAATGCTATGCCTACACTCATACTCCAAAGAACTTAGCCATACTCATCACACAAAGAAATTCAAATCATGACTCTCCTATTCCTAACAATCAAAGAAACCCATCCTTTAACATTCATTAACATTCGAACCATGAATCAAACTTATGCACTTTAAAGCAAAACACATTTGGCTAAGGGTTATGGTTATGAGCATAGAATGATCTCATTTGAAAAGGGTTTATAATCATAACAAGGGTTTCTCTCAAAAATGGTTTGAACTTATGCATAATGCTAAAGGTAAAGGCAATTTATGCATACATGATTAGATTCTCATCTACCCATGTAAACTATCAAATGATCCTATACCCCTCTCATTTAAGAAATTTAATCCTCACTCACCACTTAAGAGTCTACCCTTTTTCTCACACTTAGCAATCTCCAATTCAAAATAAAGACATTTTTAAACTTTTTAGGCTAGTGAAAAGGTTTTGAAAAATACTTTTGCTCTTAGAAATTTCTTATTAGTAGCTCTCTTATTATTATTATTATTATTATTTTTTCTTTTCACTTTTTTTTTTCATTTTTCTTTATTTGGCACTTAGGCTCTTTTTATTTCTTTTTCTTTTCTTTTCTCTTTTTTTTTTTTTTTTACTTATTATGAGAGAGCTACTTTCTGAAATTAGAGCATACTTAGTTTTAAAAGCAAACATTTCACTTAAAACCTCATTTCTTTCCTTAAAACACAAACTCCTTGAAACCGAAACAATTAGACAAGAAAGCAATCCCAATGATCCCCCAAACTTATCCTAAGCCTACACCTAGCTTCAAAATGCAAAGCTAGCAACAATATGAAAACCAAATCATGTCGCCTAAACCTAACACTTTATGCCAAGTTCAAACCAAAAG